CGGCCATTTATGTTCGTATCCCCCCTGCCTCAGCCCATACAAGCTGGTGAGAGCAGCGGGGATCCGCCCCCCCCCGCGGGCCCCATAGCGACCGCATTGGTCGCTATGGTGGTAGTTCCGCCACTGGTTGGGAGGTGCCTTTGGGGTACTATTCAAATGAATGTCAACGCAACACACCTTCCACACCAGAATGCACAGTAGGTGCATTTGCATGGTGCAGCATGTTAATCGCATGGTGCTATGTGATTATTGCACTGTACAAGTGTGAATGGACCCCCAAAAATAGACATACATACATACATACACAACCACAGACACATTCTCACACACTATAAACATTTAAAAAAAATGTTAAGGTCCACCCAGTCTCCCTACCTTACAAGAACTGGAGTGGATCCTCAGCCTGGGGTCCAGTATGGGCTGTTGTGCGGTGACGGAGCTCCATCCATTTGTACAGCTCCCTTGTGTGCCCTATAAAAGGTGCTGGGAGCCAGAATGTGACATCACTCTGGTCCAGTCACCTCTATAGGAAGGAGCTGTAAGCAATGCACATATGGATGGAGCTTCCTCGCAGCCATAGCCCCATCCCATCCCACCTCAAGCTGATACGCAGGGCTGGGCAGCATATTTTGATTGGCTGCTTGGCATGAGAACTGACGGCGCTGCGCTAGGGGAAGGCAGAGGAGCCTCTCACCCAGAAAAGTGGAAGGCATGCAGCGACACACTGAACACGGGGTTGCGACCCATTTTTGGGTCACGGCCCACCAGTTGAGAACCAAGGTTCTATAGCATCTCAGCCAACAAAAGAAGAAAGGTTCAGGTGCTTGTACTCTGGTAATGAGTTTCCGGAGTATTTTTATTAGCTGGCTGTCCTCGGTGAGATATCAGATCATTTCCCTCACTTCCTAACCTACATTAAGGATTGGAGGTATCTCACATGAACCACAGTTACAGCATTAACCCAATCTCACCTGTTCTCTTTATTCTCTGTATGTCTATTCCTAGTATTCATGCCTTGTGGATCTTGCCATGATGGTTTTGTTTTAGTTTCACAATATTGAGATAATAACTGCAACAGAAAAGAAATACATCAACATTATAAAATGCCCTCCGAAAGCAGTTCCAGCTTCACTGGTACGAATATTTCATAGTAGGCAGGAACCTGTGATATGTCCTCAGCTATACAGGACGTCATCTCAGGTCGAGTGGGTGTCCACAGCAGGTTCTCGTACCCGGAGACCTTGGGAGGAGAGGCTGGCTTTATACTGTACTGTGGAGGAAACAGAGCACAATTATCACTGCCCGATGAGCCCAGCACAAATTATGACAACTGGATAGAACTGTGACTGTTACTAGGTGCAAAGCTTGGAACACAAAAAAATTAACAAAAATCATGAAATATTTTCATTATATATTTTTTTTTATCCATTTGGATTTGTCCTTTGACTGAAAGCATTGCCACACTGATAGTATGGATTTTGAGTATTTGAAGCAGTTTATTAAATTAAGCCACAGATAAACTGGAAACCTTGACTAGAAGTTCACAA